GGATAGGAATGACTTGTCAGTCACAAGGTAGCCATGCCCTAAAGCATACCCTGCTTTATTGTCTATTTTACTTTAAATTGGACTATAATTTACAAAATGAACAACATAATGTACAAAAGAAGACTTCCTCATTAGGAAGAGAGTGTACAATCCAAACACTGGCTCTAGATAGGGCCTATCGCAGCCACTGTATAGTTTCTACTTCACGCTAGGTTAAGTCAGGGGGATTCAGTTGGTTACAATCACACCACCAGATGCTACTAAATCCTACACACTGGTCCTTTAACAATTTCTTTTTTGCCATAAAGTCTTATAGACAGGCGTGTTGGATCAAAAACACTTCATTACCAAGATTTAGTTCTATAGACTTTCACCTGGTTAAGGCTGCTGAAGACTGATAATAAAGTACAAGTGCAAGTGACTGAGAGTTCAGGTTTCTTCATGTTTTAAAACTAAATATTCAGATTATAGTCAGAAGTCAACAGTCAATTAAATCAAATGTAAAGAATTTTGACCCTTAAATTCAATTTTTAGTCTAGTTTGTCTAATTACAACTGACTTCTTGGTGGAATTGCGGTGTTTTGTGGTTCATTGCTGCAAAATGGCACTGGAGTAGTACAGGTGTGCACGCCTTACAAAATAAGAGTCCCATCATATCTAGTGCCAAAGTGGCTGCTGTGGGAACTGGCAGAGAAGCCGAGGGTGAAAGCAGCCCAGTCAAAACATTCACAGGTGGGTCATTGTGTTAAAGCTCAAGTTCTTAAAATAAGAAGTCCAATTTGAAGATAATTCAAGGATCTGGCAGGAATTACTGTTGTAATGAAGAATTCAATAACCACAGTACCTTTGAAATTCAAGGGAAGTTTGAAAGTGAAGCCAACCATTTATAGGCCCCGTGTGTTGTCAGCATTCCAGCAGTGACATGCTCTGTCAAGACAAACTCCACAGTCCCATAATCTAACCTCTAATTTTCCCCAGCTGTAATAATCTCCCTCCAGATGCTGAGCTAAAAATACAAAGAGGAGGCTGGACGACTAAACAGCACGTCCACGTTAGAGATGAATCCCCAGGTGAAGGAACTGTTTCCAAAGAGGAAACTGTTCAACTAAGACAACTGTTAATTATTGACAATCCTGACTAACTTAGCAAACACATTTAGCTGGCCAAATATGCCAAGTAGGAGAATTAATGGTTTTGAACGTCTTACATAAGACTTTAGGTTATAAACTACAACAGAGGAGTATTTCAGGTATGTTTTTACAAGATGGACTAGAGGTTAGGATGGGATGGTGAGGAGTTCCCTGCTGTCAGAAATACCACAATTAATCTTAATGTACAAAAGAAAAACCTCAGTTTTGTTGGAATTACAGCCATCAAAGCTTTTTAATCATTCAACACGTGGACAACCTCAAAACCACAGAAGCAGGAAGTACAGGCAATAAAGGTACCGTCATATATTATCTGTAAAACACAGGAAGAAGATGTATACAGGAAATAGTTAAATATCCAAGAAAATTGTGATTTGCCTCCCTTTTGATCCTAAAAACTGAGTCCTGCGTCGCATATGGTCAGACTGTACAATGTGGGTACCACTTTCTATTAATGTAAGAAATTTGATAAAATATTCAAACTTGTTTTCAATACTAGTTTTTTTTTAGTTTTTTACTGCACCTCATGGTCTTCCTCAGCAAAAGACTAGTGGGAAAAGCTAGTAAAATGTTTATCTAAAATAAACAAATAAATAAATCTATCTAAAAGTCTTTATACCACAAGTTGTAATTAATATCTTAATTTTGGTTGATCATCGAGTTATTAGTAAGAAGAACCTTTACAAGCTTTTTCCATGCATTTCATGGTCTTCCTCAACAGAAGGCCAGTGAAAAAAGCTTGTAAGTGTTTTAAGATAATTTAAGATAAACACTGTTTTAAGATCTTTTTGTGAAAAATGTATGAAGTGTCTATAAATTGTAATTATTAGCTTAATTAATGGTTAATAAATAATTCAGTAATGTTTTATAGATCAGAAGAGTTTTCAACTGCATCTCATGGTCTTCCTCGGTGGAAGGCTGGCAAGAGGTCTAGTAAATGGACAATGGGTTAAAATATCTTGTCAACCTTTATAAGCATCTATAAATTGTAATTAATAGCTTAATTATTGGCTAATCCACTTGGCTGGTACATATTGTTAGCCAACGTAACATTTTCATTAGCTCTTTAACTCATTTTGATAGCTTACTAGAGAGTAAGGACTTATATTAAACCAAATAATTACAACTCAAGACTGTTTATAAGGTATGCCTAATTAGAAACTGGTACCCAGATGTTATTTTCCGGCTTTTTTCCCATGGTTGTCCTCGGTCTAATGTGGCTCACAACAGAATGGCTTTCACTTCATTATTAAACTATACCATAACAAAAACATATCACTGTCCAAAAATTGCAACCAGTACTAAAAATCAACAAGAAGACTCCAGAATTCATAACAAATATACAATATCTATCACCATAATATTGATTTTTTTTTTGGAGTGTAAATTGACAGCTTTGCACATGCAGCCCATCATTTCATTAATTCCCTTTCAAAAGACAGTGCCTCAGGCTTTAAAAGTGCAGCAGTGGGGGTTCCCTTTAGACAACTGTGGCCTTGTAAAGGTCTGTCTTGCAGTCCTTGCCCTCTGGGGGGTTGCGGCCGTTGTGGGGCACCTGGGCGTTCCTCATTTTGCTCTGGCACTGCCGCAGCTCAGCGACGTAGCCCTGGAAGCTCAGGCTGAGCTCAGAGTCCTCTCCCTGGGATGTTTCGACAGTTCCCTCCTCTAGATGTACCCCCTCCACATCCATCACCTCCTGAACCGTCTGTGCAGCGTCGGCTCTATCAGTGGGCGATTTGGTGTTGGAGCACGGGTCTGTTTTCCCCTCTGTGCATGACAGAAAAGAAAGGCATGGAAGATTTAATATGATTTGATGCATTATGGATGACGAAGATGTCAATTTGAGTATTATTGAGCTTGATTATAAAAAAAATTGCTACAGGCAAACACATCTCACATCGGGGTTTTTGGTCAAACTTGTTAACAAACAGTGATCTATTTCCATTATATTGGTCGTGTTTTTAACATTCACTCAACTGTAAGCTCTGTTTTGGTCTCCACCAACTCCTTAAAAACAGTCCAGATGCTCCACCATTTTCACCAGCTAGTTGCTAACCCTGTCTGCAGAGCTTGATTAAAACAGTTACTTGCTAATGCTGAAAATAGAATTGGAGCGAGTGGAGTTTGCGGGCTGGGAAAACCAAAACAATGAGCTAAAAAATGCTAAAATTGGACTGCATAGAGCTAAAGCTGCAGAGTTGGGTGGACAATTTAGTGGGGTTGTCACTACGGGTGACAACTTTCACATAGTAATTTGATCCATTGTTTATATAATATATAATAATAATAATAATAATAATAATAATAATAATAATAATATTTTTTTATATAATTGCAGCTTTAAATAAATATGTTGC